TCCAGCAACTTGAGGCTGCTTTCCAGAGGTGAAGAGCTCCCAAAATTGGTCAAAGAGTTGCTGGTCCAGTGGTCTACAAGGGTGAGTCCCATTTTCCCTCTTTCTTGCCTTGTTTTGCTTTCTATCTAAGCCATACTTTCTAGAATTTTTGGGCTCCGACCCAAACTGTAAATAGTCATATTTTGTGCTTATCTCCATGTTTGATTAAGGGTCTTTCTCTGTTTGAGGTCCCCTCCTCACCCTTTGTGTTTAAACTCTCTTTTAGGCCAATTTTTGCATAGTATTTTAGGCCTATTTTTGAGTTGTTTTGGATTTGCTCATAGACTGTAAAATAACTTTTTTTGAGCCCCTCTTCAACATTGTTGAAGGGCTCTACTCTGTTTGAGAACAGCAGCTGCCACTTGTCTCTTTACCCCTCTTTCAGGCCTTTTCTTGCATGATAGTTTGGCTTTATTTTTGGTTATTTTTGTGGCTTCATGTAAATTGTAGAGTGCCTTGTTTTGAGCCCCTCTTAAACTTTGTTGAAGGGATCTTTGACATTTGGGGCCATCTGCTGTCCCTTTGTGTTTAAACTCTCTTTTAGGCCAATTTTTGCATAGTATTTTAGGCCTATTTGTGAGTTGTTTTGGACTTGTTCATAAACTGTAAAATAACTTTTTTTGAGCCCCTCTTAAACATTGTTGAAGGGCTCTACTCTGTTTGAGGCCTCCTGGTATCACTTTCCTCTTTATCTCTTTTTTAGGCCAATTTTTGCATAGTATTTTAGGCTTATTTGTGAGCTGTTTTGGACCTTTCCATAAACTGTGAAATATCTTGTTTTGAGCCCATATTCAACTTTGTTAAAGGGATCTTTTCCATTTGGGGCTAGATGCTGTCCCTTTGTGTTTAATCTCTCTTTTAGGGCCATTTTTACATGATAGATTAGCCCTATTTGTGTTCATTTTTTAGGCTTGTTATAAACTGGAAATATGCATGTTTTGGGACTGTCTTGCATCTGTCTTCATGCTTCATGATCAAATAATGCATGCTTTGTATAGCTGTAAGTCATTTCATGTGGCTAGTTTCGAATTTCGGGGTTCATTCCATGCATCGGGTGCCATGTTTCCATGTTTCGGGGCTGATTTGTATCATATTTCAGTGCTGAAATTTGCGTGTTTGCATACCATATTCCATGCCTTGCCATGCTTTGGGTAGAGTGGCATTTGATGCCTTAGGCTTGGTCCTCGGTTTGCGTGCATGTGTGCACGCATTTCGAGTGTCTCATTTTCATCTAATGGCTACTGATGTGAGTGTGGCTGAAGTCCACTCATGTTGGTGTAAGTCCACTGCGCATTGTGTATGCCATTTCATTTCATAGCATTGCGTATGCTAGGTTGTATGTTAGAGCATTGTGTATGCCTTGTTACATTGTGCATTGTGTATGCCATCTCATAGCATTGTGCATGTTAGATTGTATATTAGTTGCATTCATGCATTTCATGCATATTGCATTGTGCTTGGGATAGGAGTTAGCCCGAGCACGGGAAACGAGGGACGTTTCGTACTCCGAGTGACGGAACGTGTCTCAATTCCCAGTCGCCGACACTCCGGATTATCCATGATGGAGTTTAGGTCTTGTTGTGTTTATATGTGCATTCATTTCATATTGAGTCGTGCAATTCGACTCCTCGGCCATCATGCATTGATATGCGTGATTGGTGGCACGAGGATCGAGGACTACACTCCCCGAACAGTAGTCATGCATACATATGTGAAAATACTTTGCCATGCCCCTTTGTTGCTCTCTGTTGCAGCAAATCAAAAATCGACAGCCTTCCGGAGCTTGGCACGCATTCCAAGAACAATTGCAAACAGAGGCAAACCGGGGCATCGCAAGGGATTCTCCGCTCAAGGCAACTCAAGCATGCATCATCCATCATTCGGAACAGAGCCGGGGCGGTCCACGGATTTACGTGTAATTTACTGCTTTCCTAGTTAATTTGTTAATTAATTAGGGTTTTGTAATTATTTATTCGGGACTGTAATTATTTATTTGGGACTGTATTATTCTTTCGGACCCTCCGAGCGAGGGCACAACTGTAATAAGTGTGCGTGTGTGTGATGTATGTCTTCCAACCCCACGTCTTTCTCCCTTTTATTTACCCGCTTATGATGGTTAGATTAGGGCATGTTTCAATTAGCATACAGTATGATAGCATGTTTGCATTCATTCATCTATTTTGCATGCACCGGGCTCGGCGCATCATACTAACCTGCATTGTATTTCAATTCCGAGTTGAATACTTGTTAGTTGTAGCATTTCATATGCCATCTTTAGAATAGCCGACCCTATCTTAGTTGCATTTTGCATGTGTTGCATTAGGCAGTTCTGTATAGTTAGGATCATGCATAGATTTCTAACATAGCTTCTGTTTTGGCTTGGAGTACTCTGTAAGTTTTATGCTTCAACATCCTTACATGCGTGTGAGTGACTGCCATGATAGCATGCTTACCATGAGGCTATTTGCTTATGTGATATAACTGCCTGAATGCCTGTGGGTGAAGGTTGGGTTATTTGAATTGGGACAATTCATCGATTATGAGTTTTAAGCCCAATTGAGAGTGGCAAAATCATGTTTTCCTAAGTCCACCTGAGGGTGGCAAAATCTGCATCTTTAAGCCTACTTGCGAGTAGCAAACCATCCTTCAAATAAACAAGCATGAAATGTTTTGTTCCAATTCAGGCGACCCGGTCTATACTTGTATGCTGTGCGCATCACATAGTAAAACTAGGCTAATAACCAGAATAAGAACACACAAAGTTTTCAAAAATAGATATCATGGTTAGTAGAGGCCGGTCTCTGACCGGGCGAGCGGGGGTGCTCACGAAGTGACCTTCCCCAATCGTACCCAAGTTCCCGAGCCGAGGCAACTTTGGTGATAACGGACACGTGGCCTTAGGCAAACGAGTCAGGGTTTCCTAAATTTCCCCAAAATAAAATATTTAGGTGGCGACTCTGTATCTGGCCATGTTTGGCACTTCTTTCAAAATCTGTTTTCTCAAAACGATTTGTCGGATTTGGACTATTTGGTTCAGATTGAGAACCGTGACAATCTGAGAGTCCTGAACTGTAGTGAGCCCAATAACGAGCGGAACGGGACCTCACCCTCCCGGGGCGTTCGGGACGTCTACAAGTGCGCAATCATCTTTCGGGCCGTTCTTGAAAGACACGACCGCCACCTCTTGGTTGCATTCGGGTATTCGGTTGAACACCTCATAATACCTTTTTGTGTAGGCCCTAAGGCCTTCATCCTCACTGATTCTCAGAGCCATCAGGGCGTCTACCCTTAATGGCTACAGTTTGTTTGTCACAGACCTGGCCACGAACATCTCGGCCAGGCCTTCCTAGGTCTTCACATTTCTCTTCGGCAATTTGTGAAACCAATTCGATGCAATTTTCCCGAAGGATAAGGGGAACACCTTGCATAGCAACGGCTCGTTCCCAGTGTACAGTGCCATCGAGTTCAAGTATAATCCGACGTGAAAGTTGGGGTCTGACTTACCATCGTATATCTAGAACCTCGGCATACTGAATCTTTTCGGGGCCTCAGCTTTGTCTAACTTTACTGAGAATGGTGTTCTCGGTTTAACTGTTGAAGTTACCGGCCTGCTCTTGCTTCCTCTTGAGGTAATCTCTCCAGTCCTCTTTGGTCCGCCCAGGAGCTCGACTATCTCCTGATTTCAGTCTCTTAGGTGCACTACTTTCAGCTTCGTTGTGAGCCCTTTTTGACCTTTCTTCATTAGTCGCATCGAAGCATAACTCCTGCCTTTGAACATGCCGATGTTCTCTGAGGTCTGCCTTCTTGGTGTGATGTGTCCTTCGAGATTCTTCCCTTTTTGGCTCTCCTCGCCCGACCTCCCTTGTAGGCCGGTGAGAGTGTCTTTCGCTCCTGGCGTGCTGGGGGGCTACAGGGATTGTTTTCTGCCCTCCCTTCTGGGCATTGGCCGCTAGAATCAGCGTGTCCTGCAATGGGAACGGTAGCTGCATGACGTTATTTTGCATCCTGAAATTGACCATTGTTTGTAGGTCCGCCAATTTGTTCGCCATGGTCTTTACCTCATTGTCCCTCCGCAGGCATCTTTCTTTCCGTACCTAGAGGTCGTCCTCGTTGTAGTACCCGCTTTGGTCTGTCTTCTTCGGTACGTCGCCTTCCTGGCCGACGTCCTTTCCTCCGTGATTCTGGTCACGAGTTTCTTCATTACAATTGTCTTCTTCGACGTCAAGGTCAATAGGTCTCCCACTCCCAGTAAGAGTGTTTTCCACAATCTTTTCTTTCTGTCCAACGTTGGTCATTTATTCTCCTTCCTTTCCCACAAATGGCGCCAAATTGTGTGAGTGAATTTCTGACCACACTGCCAACTCAGTATTCAGCTGGAAAGCACTGGTAGAATAGGATAAGCTCGAACGACCTGCAATAGAAAGAAGATATTCAGGTGGGGGTTCGTCCACCTGGGGGCGCTCCGATGATTAAGTCAGTAACACAAAGATAATCAATGGTGTTTTACTCACTGTTTTGAATATAAATTGCATACCTTAAACTTATGGGGTGCCTCTCTTTTATGGCCAATACAATCCTAGTCCCTATAGAAGCCTAGCTTCAATGGACTTCCTCTCAGTGCTCATCATGGACTCTCCAATAGATAAAGATAAACTCATAAGAGCTTTATCCTTATCCAGGCTCAAGTCCTTCCTCATTCTAAGACTCTTGTCCCTTATCCGCTTATCCCGCATTCCGATATATTCGGAGATAACCTCAACTTAGCCGAGATCACCTCGGCGTTACGACCAAGACACGTGATATCTCGATTGACACATTGGCGTCACCTTGGCCACGTATTGGTACTCAGAAAATATATCCCCATAGAAGGTAAGCAGCTCATTTGAATATAATGCATGAAATTGTCTTATTTGCCCTGTTTCCTATATATGTATATATCTATAATATATTAGCTGGTTGAAGTGTCAACATAGTAACAAAAAAATAAAACATCTGCACGTTGAAGCGCTGGAAGTTCCTTCTGATGACTGTTCCGCTTGACCTGTGAGTTCCAAGGAGGTGAGACGGTGTGGTTTGTTGTCTTCCTCAAACGGTGATGCTGGTGTATGCGCAAGGGTTATGTGGCAATAGCTCATTATATGTATGTCCATACATGCTTTATCTGGTGCAAGTTCTACCATGTGCAACAACTTCCAGAAACTCAGGTATGTCATCTTCTTCCTATTGTATATTATGCAATTATGCTTAATTTCTCTGTTTGGAGTTCGGTTCTGTTCTGTCGCAATATCAAGCCTTCTGCCCACCATGTGCTGGACAATATGCTCGAATGAATTCCGTGGTTATGAATAATTCGTGGAGGGAAGTCCTCCCCCTTTTCAACAATTTCTGGAAATGTTGACCGATATGAATTTTGATGAAGAACCCAATAACACGAAGCTTATTTCACTCAAGACAGCATAAATTCAGTGCGTCGTGGAGACCCATCAGAATAGATGGAGCCTTGAAGGTTGTTGGTTGTAGATTTATGTCAATTGAGCAATTGTCTACAGTTTGTGTGTTGTTGTTTCTAAATATTTGTTGTTAAACATGCCATGTATTATAGGTAGGTCAGAAAAAGGGGAGCTCACTTGTGGATTTGGAAGATGGTGCGCAGACTCGCAAAAAAGTTCAATTAGGTACTCCTGCTACTCGATCGATCTCAATCTATAGTTCCAGGTCACCGATGAAACAGAGGTAAAGCTGGGCAAAACATATTTCTTTTCTTTAATTTTTTGCTATAGAAAATTTTCTTCATCTCTTACGATTTTAATGCAGCTTTTAATAGTCAGGCCATGAGTCATTATGGGTAACCATGTTCCTCTCCATTTGAAGCAGTACTTTCTTTGTCATGTATGGATTCTCATAGGCTTGGAAATTTTATCTCAGCAAGTGTGGTTAATTTTCCAGGCTAAACTACCTTTGATTAGAATTGTCATTTATTTCTGAAAGAATACTCAAGTAGGAGTCAATAAACATGTGTTGCAATGTATTCGAGACTCGACCAATATGCAAAGAAAGGAAAGGAAGATGGTTTGTACATTAGTTGCGTAGCTTCTTTAGGAAATCTATGGGTAGTAGTTATGGATGCAAGGACAGGTTTTACATCCAAAGTCCATGAACTCTCACCCGTTTTCTTGCACAAGGTATGTGTTATAGTTCTTACCATGAGTTCTAAAAATTCATTAATCAAATTATCCATTGCTTCTTTAAGTCTATTATTTCTAAATTCTTCATTAGGAGTGGATTTTGGAGCAGTGGGACAAGAATTATTACATCACTTCACTTGCTGGTGCATCAAATGGCAGTGCCTTGGTGGTTTATGTCCAAGGGTGAGTGAAAAAAATTCTCTTTGGTATTCACATTTTGACGTACCTTAATTTTTTTATGACAATAAAATCCAGTATGAGAAATTTCAAAAGTGTAAATAGTGAACTTGCACATTTTAACAATGTTATGTTTCAGGATAATCTACTTCCTAAAAGAAAATTAGTCTCATATCTAGAGATGCCTCAACACATTTTGATGAATTAATTTATGCATGACCCATATTGCAAGCATGTGTGGTATATCTTGTGTTTTCAGTGTTTAACAAATGATTGTTCTTTATACTTTGGATTTACGTTATTCAGGAGTCATTAAGGCACTATTATGATATTACTCCTAAGTAATAAACTGATTTAAACACTTAATTTTATTATTATTATTTTATTTTTTTGTGATTGAGAATACATTGTTAGTTTTATGGACAACAGTGCACCTATTAGTTTTTCTTTGAGATACTCACTCCCAAACTACTTGTCAAGATATTCACATTTTTGTAAAATCATTTGTACCCACGCAAATTATTAATGTTATTTTTCAATTAACTTCACAGGGAAAACTCGGAGGTGGATTTGTTTTCAATTTTAGTTTTATCATTGGTGCTAGAGAGAAGGAAAATCCTTCGAGCCGGCTAACCCACGAAGTTATATTTTAAGACAGTAAGGATTTAAATTGTTTGTTGGTTCATAATTTCATATTAGATGTGTTCATGATTGATAGAGTAGGGGGGGGGGATAATGTTATTTTGTGTTGGAGATTTTCTTGAAAAAAAATTCTCTATTTGTCTTGTTATATTATTTTTATCAACGATAATGCAACCGCGGGGTTCAAATAGTATATTAAAGAATGTTTATACTTTTTAAAAAGTAAAAGAATATTATTAATAAAATATTTAAATATATATTTTCTATTATTTAAAGCTTTTAATATCATGTCCTAATTTTTGTTATTATTGATTATTGTATTAGTAGGGATGCAGACAGCAGATAAATGAGCATTCTAAAGAGATGATGTTGGTTTTTTTTATTCTACAATTTAAGAAATATTATTAGCTTTGTTTGTTTTTATATATTGTTTGCAGTGTTTGTAATTCTCAGTCTCATATCACCAAATTGAGATTATTTTTTATGGATTTATAATGTACATTTTTTTTAAGATTAGTATATATTGTATTATTTTTTAAAAAAATTGTACATATCATGTTGTAAATATTTTATTTATCAAATATATTAACATCAAATGTTAGTTAAAAATATGATTCACATGTACATTATTTAAAAAAATATATAAATCTCATAATATAGTTTTTTTATTTTATTTTATAATTTGTAGTCTGGCCGCTAATATATATATATATATATATAAAGAGAGATTTTATGGTACCCATTTTAAAAAGAGACTTGGTGTAACAAAATTATGACTTTTTATAATAAAAGTAATGCATGCGTGTGATGTTAGTGTGTGATGTTACTTTGCGATAAAAATTATGAATAATGAAATTATAGTACGCAGTCCTAGTTGCGATAAATTACAATTATTTGTGGCAAGAAATTAGTGAAAATAAATTATGAATGAACCATTTGTGATAAGAAATTAGTGAAAAAAATTATGATTTGCCATTGAAATTATGACTTATTTTGAGAAGTAGGTTAAAAGTTAAATTTTTTTTTTATATTTAAAAAAATGTAAAAAAGATAAAAAGGTGACGTGACTCAAAAAAAAATTAAAAGTTAAAAAACTAATTTTTAACCTAGCTAACAAAATATTATGTATGTTGTGGTAGAGTGAATTGATATGTACCTTTTGAAGAGTGCATGCTATAACAACTCTCTCTCTCTTTCTCTCTCTCTCTCTATATATATATAATTAGCATATACCCGTGTTATACACAGGTATAAATAAATAATCAAAAATTAATTTTTAAAATTAAATAATAATCTAAAAAATTTATATGCAATATTTAGCAAAAATGATTTAGAATCAATTAAATTTTATTTATTTTTATCATAGTTACATATAAGAGAATTTTTTTACTTTTTATGTCATTAATTGTATGCTCTAAGTGCTTAATAACAAATACATGTTATAATTTAATTGGTAAAAATTATAAAATAAATCACAAAATTATATTTATATTAAAATATAAATACATTTCATCTTATGAGTTTTGTAAATTTAATTTATCATATGATAGTGGTAAATTATATTTTTCAACATATTAAATTTTTCATATTTTGTAAAGTTTAAAAATTTATCTAGCATCAAAATTATAATTTGTCTTTTGTTATAAGATTTACATAAAAATGGATTAGGATTCACTTGTGATATTAAATTTGGGCTTAACATTAGATTTATGTCAACTTGTCATTTACCTAATATAACGATTCTAGTTTAGATCCGACCCGTTGATATTTTGAATCTGGGATTCATTGTCTCATATAGTTGGTCATGTCTTGTTTTCCCTTACTCCTCTTTCAGTTTGGTTATTGGGATGTGTTGGTTGCGTTTGGAACAAGTTGGTAGCTTGTTTTTCAAACTTTTGTCACCTAGATTTTTGCTTCTACGCTCGAGCGTAGCTTCTTGCACTCGAGTGCCCTTTGTGAACTCTCATTACTTTGGCAAGTTTGCAAAATTGCTGAGAGTGTGCATTCTACGCTCAAGCGATGTTTCCTACGCTCAGCGCTCAAGCGGTCTTGGCTCGAACGACTTCTTGTGCTCGAGGGATGGTTTTCTGTCTGTAAAACTTCTGAGAGTTTGTATTTTACACTGGAGTGTCACTTCTTGCGTTCGAGCGATGACGCCCTTGTTCATTGTGTCTTGAGGCTCGAGCTTTACTTCCTGAACTGCGGTGATTATTTTTGGGTTTAGACGCTCAAGCGTTATTTCTTGCGCTAGAGCGATTTTTGCATATATCAATTCGTAAAAGTTACTTTGTACATCACTTTTTCATTTTTCTCTCTCCAAACATTTCAAAAACCCTAGATCTAGACTCTATCTCTCTAAAACTTACCGTCACTCTATAAATACTCCAAGATCTATCTATTTCTCCACCTTAGTACCTTTGTTAAAAAGGTAGAGCACTCCGAGGTCTCGCTTTTGATTCGAACAAAGTTTGGTTTTGGCGTCTTTGAAGTTTCTATTCTCTCTCTTACGTCTTCTAAGCTTGAGGTATGAATTCTTCACACTCTTGTATGAGTTTTACCTTAATTATTTGCTATTTCAAGAGATTATAGTGGTTTGGGGGTTTTTTGACAAAAACCTAGGGTTTGAAATCAAAATGTAAAAGAGAGGTTTTCAAATGGCTTCTTGGAAATGGTTGGGGTTATGAAATTGCAGTTGTCATATGTTGAAATGCGATATTTCCTATGTTAGAATTAATTTTCAAAGAGAAAAGGCTTTTGTCCTAGAATGTAAATGTTAAGATTATAAAGAGAAAATGGAATTGATATTGAAATTGCGAAATTGAAATGATGATAAGGATGAGGGTGGAATTGGATATGTATTATCACTTCCATTTGAGATTTTAGAAAAGTGTATCTTTAATGAAATTTATTTGTCTGTGTAGAGATATCTGTTTTGGGCTATCGGTGGAGAATATGTATAAGTGTTGTAGAAATTGCATGAGAATTAAGTGAACTAAAACTAATTTCTCATCCATTTGCATAAGCATTGTTGTATATTAAATATATTGTAAATGTATATGATCTTGAGAAAGGGGATGAATGTAGGAAAGAGATGTGTATCACCAAATCAAGTTGGCTTGTGTGTCTAGGGTGAAAGTCCCAAAAAATGTGCATATACATCGGTGTCAATTCTCGTAGACGAAATAACTGTAAAATGACAATTGTAGTGCTTGTATAGACTACGTTTACATGGGTATCGTTTGACGGTTTCCCGCGGATGAGATATCGGTGAAATGTTGTAATGGTTTGAGATTTTCCCCTGTTTTCTATTGTAAAGGGCATGATTTTGAGAATTGTTATGTAAGCTTGGCATGACATGGTTTTTGAAAAGCAATGTAAAACATTTCGGCATGGGCATTGCATATATATTAATCTTATGACTTTATTAAGATTTATACATTGTGTTGGATTATTTCTATTGGATTTTGGCTCACCCTATATGGAAAAACCATTTTCAGGTATTACTAAGATTTTGGCTCACCCTTTATCCCAATAACCATTTTCACCCTCTACCAAGGCAGTAGCTTGGGAGGATTAGAGCGAGAGTTTCATTTTGTTGTTGTAATTATTTTGTACAAGCCTAGGGCTTTACCTATATTGGATTTAAATCCATTTTGATGTAACCAAGTACAGTCTTAGGAAGTTGTAGCCTTCAGGGCATTTAAATTAAGTGTTTAACTTCTATTTCATATCTTTGTTGTTGACACATACTATATATTCAGGGTTAGGACTTATGAATGTATATTCGTATGTGTCACCCTTTTGCACAACTAATTCTTACATAATGGAAGGCTATTATACTCTTATTTATATTGCTATTTACGTTTTGTCGTGGGTGGTTTATTGTATTTATTTCAGGGTGTTACAACTTGGTATCAGAGCATACTGGTTTGAATACTTGGGTACGTGGGAAGTGGTTCTTACCATAATGGATTTATCTCGCTTGATAGAGATGTATGTATGTATAATATGTTGTGTGATAACATGCTTATGTGACTAAGTGGGTATGAAATTTGTTTTCTAAGATGGTTTACAAGTTTCTGGAATTCCTGTTAGAAGAGTACTTGATCACTGCTATTTCTAATTGGAGCTTTGGCAATGTCACGGGATGATCATCATCTAGAAAGGAAGTTCGTACGTGTTTACGTGATTATGTGTTTTTGTGGAGTGAATTACTATTGTCCATCGCTTTAGGACACGAGTGAGTTAGCTTCGGCATATTTGTAAATATGCTAATCTCCTGTGTTATGTCAGGACGTGGTCGTGGATATGGTAGGCGCGATAGGCCTAGGCAGTAGGAAGCGCCTTTATCCAATGAAATTCCGACGCAAGAGAAAGAAGTTGATCAGGTTAATATGGTCGAGCCAGCAGGTCAGCAGGCTATAGGTGCCTTGGCCCAAGAGATGGCCAGAGCTTTACGGGAATCTATGGACATTCTCAAGGTTGAAAATCAAGTCTAGGCCCAAATCGTTGAGGTAGGGCCGTCATTCTTGAAAATGGAGTTCTTCTGGTCTAATCTAGACGAGTTTTTGGGTGATCCAAAAGAGACACTGAAAGTGGATGAATGGCTCAAGCAAATAATGAAGAGATTCGAGATGCTTAGTGTAGACACTCTATTTTTGACCGTCCTCATGACTCGGACGTCATCGTTTGAACACTCGGTGATCATTCATGTTCGTGTTCGTTTCGAGATCCCGAAGGACTCGGTTGCGCGCCTTGCCTTAGGATCTCTCGACTTGACTGTTTTGTGCTTGGTTGTGGACCAAGGACTTGTAGTTTTTGCACCTGAGGGTAGGAAGTGGCTTGTTAGCCATCCCTCAAACCCACTGGTCGTGGCACAAAGCCACCAGCCTTGCTTTATTTCTACCGACCAAATATTTGGTCGGTCGGCATGGATATCTGGTCGATCGGCCATTTATTTGGCCGATTGTCTCTTTTTCTGGCCGGTACCTCCTTTTTGCCTTTTACAGGCATTGTGTATGCCAGCTGTGCCAGCTAGAGTGCAAGGACCAATCCTCCATACACGTGTATGGAGGATTTGCACCATTTGCACCCTTTGCTCTAGCTTCTTGAGGAAGCTTGACCCTTTGTCTTAGCTTCCTTAAGAAGCTTGGACCTTTGTCTTGGCTTCCTCAAGAAGCCTTGACCCTTTTGCTTTAGCTTCTTCAAGAACCTTGCCCCCCTTGACCCCTTTTATTTAGCTTCTCTAAGAAGCTTAGGCCTTTGTCTTGCTCTATAAAAGAAGGCTTCTCTTCTCCTTCGAAGAGGTTCAGCAAATTAGAGATATATATGGCATATACATCACTCTCTCTCTATATCTCTCTTTCTCTCTACATTTGTGTGTGTTGGAGTGTCCAAAAGTGAGTTTTGTTCTTAGTTTTGCACTAAGACACCTAGTGTTACACCATAACTTGGTTATCGAGGTGTTGAGAGGTTGTTTTTGGAGCTTTTGAGTTGGTTTTGATCAGAAAAGGGGCTGGAGTTTTCGTTCTTGAAGTGTTCTTCAAGGGTGAGCACTATTGCTTTATATTTCTCATTCTTGCACTAGCTTTTAACCTACTTTGCATGCTATTTTGAGCTTTGTGTATAACTGATAAAAGTTCTGATTTTTCATGTTTAAGAAGTTTCATTAAGATCATTTTTGTGTTTGAGGTTGACCTCCCCCTCTTAGGCCTTGTTTGGCCTCTTTTGTGCATTCTTTGTTGAGCTTTGGGAACTTTCGTGTATTGGCCTTCTCGCCACTGAAACCCAGAGGATTTTCAGTGGTGGTGAAGGGGTTTTGAGGTCTTGCATAGGGGAGGGACACCCCTCTCCCTTTGTGTCTCATTTGCTTGTGTTTTGGCTCATAAGGGAAGCATGCATGCCTAGCTTTGTTTGGCTTTATTTCAGAGGTTATTTGGTGTTTATCTAGCATGTTTTATCTCTGTTCCATGTTGGTTCGTCGACCCCTTGCATGCACCATACACTTGCCTTACATTCCTCTATTTTGCCTAGAGATGCATCTTGCATTTGGATCACCATGCTTGCATGTTTTGGTTTAGCTTTGTGAAGTTTTTAGTCATATTTTATTATGTTCAAGCTCTGTTGGGTGTTGATTTGGTCATGCTTTCCATACTTTGTATAGCCTCTTTGCATTTTAGCTTGTTGGCTTCGGGTGTGTGAGTATTTAGCATGCATTACTTAGGTTATTTCAGTGATTTGGAATCACTTATCATGCCATTTCAGTCCATGTTTTACGCTTACATGCTTGCATTTGATTACCCTTTCAATGCCTTGAAGAGTTGTGGTCCTATGCTCCATGTTTGAGTCCTTGGTGTATGCCTTTTTGTTTAAGTCCTTGGGCTGCCATATCAGTGGGTTTTGGGGTGTATTTTGACGCATTGAAACTCTGTTTCTGGTTGCATAATCCATGCCATGTGTGGTCATGATAGTTATAGTGGAATGCTCCCTTTTATGCCTTAGTTTTAGGCCCATTGGTGTGCATGTTTGCATGAGCATTTGTCCATCATTTCCGTCACTTTTGGCCACTGTTTATGGCAAGGCTGAGGTTTGCCCTTTGCGGTTTAAGTCCACCATTGCATGTTCGTCGCACGTTTGTTGCATATTTGGTTCATTGTGTGTTGGCACATGCTAGTTCCATTGCATATTTTTCCATATTTGCTACATTACATTTTGCATGCTTGGTATATTGCATATTTGCATGTATAAGTTGCATTGCATTTGGCATGTTTTGCTAACTTAGCCTCATATTGCATACTTGATGCCGTTTTGTACACTTGAGCCATATTGCATACATACATTGCATTATGTTTGGTTTGGGGTGTCAAACCAAACATGGAGAATGAGGTGTGTTCGTACTCAAAGTGACGAAACACGTCTCAATCCTCGGTCACCGACGCCCTTGATCTCAACATGATAGGGCGTGAAGCATTCACTCGTTTGTTGCATTCATTTACATTGATTTGCAAGCTTGGTGCCTTTGGCCATCATGCATCGAAATGTGTGGTTGGTGGCCCGAGGGCCGAGGGCCACACTCCCTTGAGTCGATAGAATGATAGGGAAAGTGGCCATGCACACATTGCTTTGAAATTTCCTTGCCATGCACTGTCTGTCCTCTGCTGCTGTCAAAACAGGATTCTGCAGGAATATTTGGCCGACCGACTACATACAGTGCCGACCAACCAAAAATATCTGGCTGATGGCTTCACAACTGGTGGATGACAATTTATCAATGGCCGGTGGATCTTTACCTTGGCCGATGGCATCCCAGAATGATCAGGAAGTGGTTCAGAAGCATCAAGAATATTTTCACAATGCTCAGAGGTGCAGAACAGTGCAAACAGAGGCAACAGTGGCATGGCAATGGGTTTCCAAGCGAGGCGATCGAGCATGCATCATTCAAGCATTCCGAAGCGAGGCTGCGGCCACCTCCTTTTGTAATTAATTTGTTAAGTGATTAGGGTTTTGTAATATTTAATTAGCTAGGGTAGTTAATTATTTATTCAGTTTGTGTTATTTATCCGGACCCTCTGAGGAGGGCAATTTTGTAATAAGTGTGCGTGTGTGTGATGTATGTCTTCCAACCCCACGTCTTTCTCCCTTTTATTTACCAGCTTATGATGGTTAGTTTAGGGAATGTTTCAATTAGCATACTTATGATAGCATGTTTGCATTCATTCATCTGTCTGGCATGCACCGGGCTCAGCGCACCATACTAACTGCATTTTATTTCAATTCCGAGTTGAATACTTGTTAGTTGTAGCATTTCACATGCCATCTTTAGAATAGCTGGGTCTATCTTAGTTGCAATTTGCATGTGTTGCATTAGACATTTCAGCATAGTTAGGATCGTGCATTTGATTTCTAACATAGCTTCTGTTTTGGCACGGAGTACTAGGTAAGCTTTTAGCATCCTTGCATGTGTGTGAGTGATTGCCATGATAGCATGCTTACCATGAGGCTATGTGCTTATGTGATATAACTGCCTGAATGCCTGTCGGTGAAGGTTGGATTATCTGAATTGGAATAATGCATTGACCGTGAGTTTTAAGCCCACTTGAGAGCGGCAAACCATCACGTTTTCTAAGCCCACTCGAGGGTGGCAAATCCACGTCTTAGCTGATTTGCGGGTAGCACCATCAAACCATTTTCAAAATAAACAAACATGAGATGTGTTGTTCCAATTCAGGCGATCCAATGGGTGCTGTTAGACAATTTCCTGCAGACGAAATATCCATGAAAGCTTGTAATGGTTTGAGATTTCCCAATGTTTTATATTGTAGAGGGCATGATTTTGAGAATTGTGATGTAAGCCTGGCATGGCATGGTTTTTGAAAAGTAATGTAAAACATTTTGGCATGGGCATTGCATATGCATTCACCTTATGACTCTGTTAAGATTTATATATTGTGTTGGATTATTTCTACTGAGTGTTAGCTCACTTTATGTGGGAAAATCATTTTTAGGTGTTGGTGAGATGCCTCCGCTAAGGCAGTAGCTTGGGAGGATTGGAGTAAGAGTTTCATTTTGTTTACTTGTTATAATTATTTTGTACAAGCCTAGGGCTTCACATGTATTGGATTTAAATCCATTTTGATGTAACCAAAGTTGTAGCCTTCAGGGCATTTAAATTATGTGTTTAACTTCTATTTCATATCTTTATTGTTGGCACATGCTATAGATTCAGGGTTAGGACTTATGAGTGTATATTCGCATGTGTCACCCTCTTGTACAACTGATTCTTACGTTATGGAAGGATATTATACTTTTATTTATATTGTTATTTACATTTTGTCGTGGGTGGTTTATTATATTTATTTTGGGGTGTTACACCTAATCATTAAAAATTGTCTTGGTCTATTCCCAACTTATATGAATCATTGGACTTATCTATTTATTAATTTAGTAAATAGATATTTGTAAACGTTTTTTATAATAAAAATAAGAAATATGGACATATTTTATGCATACTTATTAAAAAATTTGAACTTAGTTTTAAAAAAAAAAACTATATATTGATGTTTAAAACAATTATATGAATAGTTATATATATTTATGTATGAAAAAATTATCTAAGATAGAGCCGCTCTAAATTGTAGGTCATATTCCAGTCCTAATATATTTAAATTATATCATAGTTTATTATTTGATGACTGATATGAGCTAATTTAGGAATTCTAATATTAGGTTAAACGCTAAAAAGTAGCTAAGAAAATTTAGTTCAAGTCGATTTTTTTGCCCATAATTCTTGATTTATGCCTAGTGCTTGGAGAATTGTCTAGTTCATGTCCTATCTATGAGTTAGTAGACCCACCTATTTATTTAATTTTTAATTAGTAAATATAATTTTAAAAAAAATTATAACAAAAATAGGAAATATGTACATATTTGTTTGGTATATTTATTAACAAGTTTAAAATTGATTAAGAAATTATGTCCTTATTCTTAAGATGATAAATTACATTGGTAGTCTCTATATTTTAACTCTAGTGTTATTTTGTCCTTGCAATTTTAATTTGCTTGATTTTGACTTTAAATTTATAATTTGGTCTCAATTTGGTCCAATTGTTATAATTGCTAGTGTTTTTTTTAATTTAAAATACACACATGAATAGCATTTGTTATACTTTTATACACAAAATTATAAACTTGTTTAACTTAGTAAGTTAATTTCAACCAACTCAATAACTATTTTCTTTTAAAAACCTTAACCGGCATTATAAAATGGACCAAATTAATACAAAATCTAAAATTAAAGGTCAAAATCAAACTAATTGAAATTACAGAGACCAAATTGACATAAGAGACAAAATGCGTGGACTATCGATATAATTTAGCCTTCTTAAAATATGTCTAATATTGATTGTATCAATGTTAAGATATATTTATATCTGAAAAACTATTTAAGACCAGATCATGCTA